AGAAAATCTAGAATCTAGAGAATCTAGAAAATCTGGAATCTAGAAAATCTAGAAAATCTAGAATTCAGAAAATCTGGAGTCTAGAAAATCTAGAATCTAGAGAATCTAGAAATTTGAAAATCTGGAAATTAGAGTATCTGGAAATTAGAAAATCTGGAATCTAGAAAATCTAGAAAAACAGTTAGCCTTTTTTGAAAATAAAAAACTATTAGATCGTACAATGCGAATTTTCTATATTCTCTATATAACAATAGTAATGAATAAAATAATAAATATCTAATAATTATAAATGTGATCGACTGCATCTCAAGTGTACAGATTTTTTTTACAAATATTTACAATGTGAAAAAAAAATCTAATCGTAAATTGCAATAGAAAAACCCGAAAACTGCCTACTAATAATTAGTAATTATCAATTATCAACTATCAATTATCTGTTATCAATTATCAATAATTAATTATTAATTATTAATTATGAATATTGATTATTTTGTCAATATTGATCAGCAGTTATTAATTTTATATCAATATTGACTATCAGTTATTAATTTTATCAACATTGATTATTAATTATCAATTATTAATTATTAATTATTAATTATTAATTATTAATTATCATTATTAATTATTAATTATCAATTATCATTATTAATTATTAATTTTTCAATTACAAAAAACAGAAAAACAAAAAATAACAAAATAGTGATAATCGCTGTACGATCCCCTCAATTAAACCTATCTTCCAATTCCCCATTTATTTTCTTCGCTGTTTTCGTTAAGTGTTTTTTTTTTAATTCGATTTGCTGAATTATTGAATAGAATTATATATAAATATAGATTTTTTTATATCTATATAAATGTGTATGTGTATCAAAAAAGGAAAAAGAAAAAAAAGTTGTCAAATGTCATTTAAATCGATTGAATTCGAATTTTTCCTACATTGAAAAAATTCAATCGATTTTTAGTCGATAATTGTTTCCCCACCCCCCAAAAAAACCCCAAACCTCCCCCCCCCGTTAAATTGGGAAATTTTTTTTTTTTATATTATATTGGAGATTGTTCAGTTGGTTTTTCTTTATATTTGTTGATAAAAAAAGAAAAGAAGTAATTCGCCATTAATCTGGATACAAAAAAAAAAAAAATAGTTGAAGTGAATGATTGATGATCGATAGAACAATTATTAAAAATAAAGAAATGAATTGTGTTCGCGAACTCTGACACACTTTTGACGGTTTCTTTTTTTTGAGTTACTTCTTTGCAAAAAAAAGGGGAGAATTTGTTTTTTGTGACTATTTTTTACTCTCCTGCTTTTTTTTTTAAAAAAGGAAACTCGAAAAAAATACCGTTTTCTTAAAATTTGTATGTAAATAGTTTTTCGTCAACTCGTTATTAGCGAATTTTTTTTTCTTTAGGAAAAAAGAACTTATTTTCGTTCGGAAATATTCGATGATAAAAAAAAATTTTTTAGACAAAATTTGAAGAAAAAAGTTCTTTTTCTGTGAAAAATTCGCTATGACTGGGTTAGTAAAATGTCAGAGTCGTTAAAATCTGTTATATTTCGTCGTATCGGATCGAAAGTTGTTCGTTGAAAAAAAAAAAAAAAATAGGAAAAAGAAAGATTTTTTTCTGGAAAAAAAGATTTTTTTTTTTGAACACACGATTTGAATACGACGACTTTGTTATTATTCCGAAATCTGTTAGATTTTTGTCCTTACAATTTAGCGTTAAATAGAAAAAAAAGGTAATGAAAAGTAGATTGCCGTTGTGTTTTTTCTTTCTTTCTTCACATTAATGAAAGTGAAATAGAGCGATTTTGCAAATGAAAAACGAAAAAGAAGGAAAAACGCTTTTTAGCGTCGAGGCACATAAACGCCCTCACGGAAAAAACAATTATCGAAAAAAAATGTTCGAAAAAAAATTGCAAAAAGTTTGAAAAAATTTGAAAAAGTTTTAAAAAGTTTGAAAAAAGTTTGCAAAAAATTCGCAATTTTTAGAAACATTTTTTTGTCGATATTCGTTTAAGTCGAGAGTTGCAAAAGCCAATTCAAAAGAAGCGCAAAGCACGTACGATCGATCGTCAAAATTCAAATTTGGATTCAATGGAAAAAAATTAAAAAAAAAAAATCGATCGTCTATACCAATTTATTTCGAAATTGTAAGAAATTAAATTTTTCTTGAATTGTAAATTTACTTTCGAAAGAGACATATTATACAAAGAAAAAAAGGGATTCTTAAAGTTTAACATATGTGTTTAGATGCTAAAGCGAAAATTGGAAAAAAAAGCCAGATAAAAAAAAAATTGTGCAAAACGATTTAACTAAGCATTTAAGTAGTAGAAGAGCAAAAAAAAAGAGAAGAAGGAAAACGTTTTTAAATCATATACAAATATATGTACAATAATTAGTATCGCTCGATAAAAAAAAAATGTTTTTTTTATCATCTGTCCGAAAATCCGTGCGAAATCCAATTTTGTTTTCTATTTCTAGCTTTACTTATTATGTACTTTGGCCTTTGTGAATGCTTACACAAGAATCATATATATATAAGATTTCCATAGTCCACAAAAGAAAATCAATTCCTTGATTTTTGTTTTCCAAAAAAAAAGAAGGCACTTGCGAAATTTTTCATTTTTGATTTTAATCGTATTTTTTCTTTTATCACACACTGATTCCATATATTTTCTCATTTATAAATTATACAATTTATTCCAAATTTTATTATTTCTTTTTTCAAAAAAAAAAAAAAAAATTCTTTTTGCCTTAGTTTCTTAATTAATTTTTCTTCTTCTTTAATTTTTTTTTTCATTCCTCACACTCTTTTTTTTCATAATATTGTATGAGAAGAAATTTTTCTTTTGTATATTTAATTGTAAAATCGTTTATGTATATTTTTTCTATTATTATTTTGTTTATTATTTTTTATTATTTTGTAATTAATTTCGTGAGAATTAGTGATTGATTTTTGAAAAAAAATTCAAAAAACATGAACTTTATTTTAGAGAGAAAGAAAGAAAGAGAGAGAGAGAGAAAGTAAGAGAGTAAGAGAAAGTGAGATAGAGAAAAAGAGATTCTACAAATGCCAAGGACAATGGAAAACAAATCAATTTATGATGAATTTTATGTGTAACATTCGATCGAGGATTGTATGTAATTGTATATATATGAGTACAATGCAGTCCATGAGTTTAAGATACATTCTCCTTTTTCTACTGTGAAAAAAATAAATTATTCTAGTTAATAAAAAAAAAATAAAAATGTGTTGTTCATATTTTCCATTTTTCCTTTTTTCTTCCTGTTTTTTTCCTGTTTTTCTATTTTTTTTTTTTTTTTAGTTAGATAAGTGTATTAATTATTAAATATTCAATTAATTTAGTCTGATATTCATTTAAGAATAATTTTGTTATTTACATTAATTTTTTTTACTTACGCAATAAGTGCAAATAAAAAAAGAAATTTTCAATCTTATCTTTTAATTTTACTAGAAAAAAAGAATTTGTAATTTTTTTCTTCAATTTTACTATAGAAAAAAAAGAATTTGATTTTTCCTTTTATTAAAAAATTTTAATAAAAATTTAATTCAATTTTATTAAAAAAAAGAGCTTGGAATTTTTTGCTTTGATTTTAGAATAAAATTAAAAAAGAATTTCCAGCCTTTCTTTATTTAATTTTCTAAAAAACTTTGTTTAAATTAAAAAAATTTAAAAAAAATGATTAATTTAATTATAAATTGAATGTTCAGAAAATTTTACTAATTATTCAATTATACACGAAAAAGAGCAATAAAGTATAGCAATTATTACTTCTGTTGAAAAATTACAAATTTCTATAATTTCTGCTTTAATTTTTATTATTTCTAAAAAAGTCTTCTTTATCAATTTTTATACGAAGATTTACTTTCAAAACAGCAAAATTTTTTCCAAAAAGAGTAAAAATTGTCATAAAAAAATTTTATTCGTTTTTTTTTTGAAAACGGTAAAAATTACATTCAATTCAGTGAATTTTACTAAATTTTAGATTTAATACTGTAAAATTTACTAAATAAATTACTGAATATTCCAAAAGCAGTAAAAATTGCCGCAAAAATTTCTAAAAATTTTAATTTTACTATAATAAGTACAGTAAAAATTAGTTTATTAATTTTTTTGGATACAGTAAAATTTATACCCAATTCAGTAAATTTTACTGGATTTTAGATTTTACACTGGTAAAATTTACTTTTTATTTATATTTACCATATATAAGAAAACAAATCTTAATTTAAGATAAGAAAATAATAATAAATTGATAAATAAAATATTAGTGTGTAAATAAATGAAAAATTTATAAACCAAATAATAAATTAAATGTTAATAAAAAAATATCAACTAATGAGAATTAATAATCTAAATATTAATAACTATATATTTATCTATTATTAAATTATAATTATTAAATTATAATTATTAAATTATAATTATTAAATTATGAATATTAAATTATTAAATATTAAATTAAATAAATAAACAAATGAATATTAAATTAATTTACAATTACGTATTTAGAATTTTTTGAAATTTTATTTGCAGAGAAAATTTTATAATGCACAATTCCCACTACTTAAAATTAAAATTTTTTGTTACCTAAAACCTAAAACTAGAGTTAATTTTTAATCTTAGTTTGCTTGAAATTATAATTTTTCGAAAATTACTGTTTGAAATATTTTCTAATTTATTTTAAATTCATTTTTGTACAATAAAATAGATACTAAATATCTAAACAATATAATTTTTCTAAGAAATTAAAAAATTTTTTCTGTCGAACGACGAAAAATTACAATTTTTAATAAGTATTTTGAAAAATAAATTTTTTATCTTAAAAAAAAAGATTAACAATTTGTAATTTAACATAATTTTTTAAAACAATTTTTTTAGCGTTATTGCGATTTTTGTATAACTTTGTTTATATATATTTTTTTAATGAATAATTACAGGAAATGAAGAATAATTCATTTTATAGTTTTTTTTTTAATAAATAATGAGGAAATAAATAATATTTAATTTTATTTTTAAATAAATTGTTTTTTTTTTAATTTGGTCGCGATGTTCGAACCATGTCCTCGAGTAACCTTTCGACACTGACATCACCGACAGTCGGTTTGAAAAGTAGCTCGTGTAAAGTGCTGCGGTAAAGCGCACGAGCCGGTGGTAAGAGAAGCAAAAGTTGTCCTATTCTACCGGCTCCTCGGTCGCTAAGAACGGCAACGGTTTGTTCCTGTAGTGCCGTGACTCGTGCCGCTTCGCAAAGCCCTCTACATTCTGCAAAGGAAATTATAAATTTATTTCTTATTTTTAAAATAAAAAAAATTTTATTTACTAGAAAAATAAATATTAAAAACAGTAAATTCACGTATTTTTCAGGTCTTGTCTGACTAAAATTGACCTATACTACTGATAATGCAATTTTTAAACTTTTTAATGTATTTCTTATGACTAACATTTATATTTACTACTTTTAACATAATTGTCTGACTGAGAATAAACTTTACTACCTACTGTGAAAAAAAAAATTCAGATAAATTGTCTGAATAAATATCGACTATTTCTACTGATTTTATAAACCATAAAATTTTTATAGCTATGTCCGAATAATAACGAACAATTACTAAATTTCCAACTGAGTAAATTCGATCTTTGCTACTAAAAATGGGGGAGAAGTGATTAAAATGTCTGACTGAAATTAATATTTACTACTTAAAGTAGCATTAATATAATTTCTTATGTAAAAGTTTGACAAAAGCGGACGTTCACTACTTTGAACGTCTCTTAAAGAATATTAAATATAATTTGTTTTATTAAAATATATTTACTGCAGAAATTAACATATTAATCGAATTAGAATTTTACTGTCTGACTAAAAATGACCTTTACTACTAAAAAAATATTGTTCGAATTAAAATTTTACTGTTTTAGTAAAAATGACATTTACTACTTGGACGAATAATTATTCGTATTATAAAAATTTACTGTCTGACTAAATTTAGTTTTTACTACTTAGACGAAAATTATTCAATTTAGAATTTTAGAATTTTAGAATTCGATTTTTCTGCGGAGATTAAACTTATTCGAATGTAGAATTTTACTGGCTGACTGAAAACGACTTTTACTACTGAAACAAAAATTATTTACTTACTGACTGAAAATAATATTTACTCATAGGACAATAATTATTCAAAATATAATTTTACTGTCTGATTGAAAATGGCCTCTACTACTGAGACAAAAATTATTCTAATATAGAATTCTATTGTCTGAATTTAAATTTTTGAAAATCTTAATTTTTCTTACTTATAACCAACAATTCTGTAGAATTAATTATTTTGAAAAAGTTTAATTGAATTTTTTTCTGAAATAATTTGAAGTGTTTATTTTTTAATACGTATTCAATTCAAGAATTTCTGAATAATTGAAATTTCGTAAAATTCAATTGTAAACAAATTCTCAAATTCTCAAAGAACTTTTTCAAAAATTATTAAAAATAATAATTGATTTAAAGAAGAATTTTATTTAAAAATTCTAGAAAATAATCATTGAATTAAAATGATAAAAATAATTTTGAAAAAATTACAATAAAAATATTTCTATATTATGTAAAATAATTATCTTATCACTCGGTTATCTTTAATTTCTTCATGTTTTATAATAAATATTCTTATAAGTTGTTTAATTTCAAAAAGGGTTTAAATTTCAATGTTTTGAAGAATTTTAATTCCTGTGTACAAATAATAATGATTAAATATTTATTTAGAAAAGAAGTTATTGATGTTTTCGAATAATTTTACAATCTTTTTTAACAAATAGAAATTTTGTAAATATTTTTTCCAAAATAAATTAAAAATTTCTTAAACAAAATTTGATTTATAACATTTTTTTTTTACTTAAAACTTGAACTTTTGTTTATGAATTGTAATTGAGAAGCAGAAAATGTGCAAAATATTGTCTACTTTCTAATTTTAATTTTCCAACCATTTTTAATTTTTTTTTTATAAAAAAGGAAAAAATAGCTGCATTATTTCGATTTGTCAAACAATTAAGTTTTTCATATTAAAAAAAGGATAATGCAGGATTTACATTTGTTAATTACCTAAAACGTTTGTTACAAAATGCTAATTTTTTTAGAAACAAAGAAATAATGAATAATAACATTAATAATTTTTTTAGATATTAATAAAAGTATTTTTGAATTATTTGAAAAATAAAGATAATATTATTAAATTAAAAAATAGTAAAGAAAAATAATGAAGTAAGTATAATATTATCTATCGAAACATATAAAAAAAACAAAAGTATGCACAAAAGTCTAACACGACAATTATTATAGTTAATAATAATAATTTTTCCATCTGACTGAAATTTACCTACACTACTAATAAAAAAAAATTTGTCAAAAATTTAAAAATTTGTTTAAAAACTTGTTAATAAAAATTCTTTCGACTTGCAGATTATTCATTCAACACTTTTAATAATATAGGTAAGTATAGTTAAAAAAAGTAATATTATTACAAAAATAATTTTTTAATTTTAACAATTGTTTGTAATATATTATTACAAAAAAGAGAAAAATTTGCTATAAATTAGAAAATGAGTTAAAAGAAAAAGTATTGAAAAAATGAGTTAAAATTGCAAATAAATTGAAAGTATAATTTATTGAAATTAATTAATTAAAATAATTTTTGTATAGTTACAGTAATTAATAACAAACCTCCTTTGAAGAGAACAATGGCTTTTAGACAAGCAAATTCAGAGTGATCGATTCTTAACATTGCGCATCGTGTTAATAATTCTTTTAATCTTCTAGTTTCGTCAATGAGAATTTGCTTTCTATCAGTTGGCAAATTTAATGGTATCAATGACGATTCCTCAACGGGAAAGTTCCATTGCGCTGCCGTAAGGACAAACAATTCACTCCACGATTCCTCGATTAATATTGCTTGATCTCTGTAGGATAACTGAAAAAAAATATTCCAAATTAGAAAACTAATTTAGTTTTGAAAACTTAATTATTAATATTTAATAGATTAGTTGTTATAAAGATTATTATTTATTTGGCCCTTTTTTTTTTGCAAAATTGTTGATTTATTTATTACGACTTTTTGTTGCAAAATAATTTATTATTTATTACACCTTTTTGTTTGCAATATATTTTATTATTTACTCGGCCTTTTTGTTACAAAATAATTTATTATGTACTATTTATTATTAAATTGATTAAGAGGCAACAAAATTTTTCTATTTTTACAAATAAGAAAATATTTTGTAATTGAAATTTATTTTATTTTTTACTAACTTTGTTAATTTTTTTTTCATTTTCAGAATATTCTACTCACTTGGAGGAAAGAAGAAATACTTCTTGGCCATTTGACTGCTAGGAAGAGTAATTTTGCCGCAAGCTCGTAAACATTTTCGGTTGGCAAAATTGACAGTGACGGCATTGCACTCTCAGATAGTGTCGAACCCATGAATTGAGGAACAAGGCGAGTAACTGGATCCACTGTTATAATTTTATTATTTAATTTACTTTTTTTTATTTATTTAATTTATTTATTTATTTATTATTATTTAATTTAATTTTAATAATTCAAAAACATTATTATTTAAATTTGAAAAAATTTTAATTTAGTATTTTTAAATTCTTGTCGATATGATTAAAAAATATAAAGAAGGATTTCATAAATTTTTCAACAAATGATTAAAATGATTAATTACTAAATTTATAGAAGGTGTTAATTTAATTACATTTTTTAATATCGATTCGATCATCAACTTTTCCAGCCTCCTCAGAACTGGTGACTTCATCTTCTTTGGCAGGTGTTGTTAAATCCGTCGACGTGCGTGGAAAAAAGTGTGTGGCTGTGGAAAAACGTAACAGATCGTTGACATCTACAAGCAGGTAAAATTAATTAAATAATTAATAAAAATTAAATAATTTCTCATTTTTATTGTTTTTTAAGTTTTATTAATTTGTTTGTCTTTATTTTTATTAATTTCTCTTTCATTTTTATTCATTTCTTTTTTCTCGCTTTTGCTTATTTGTTATTAATTTCTTTTTATTGACTATTTTTATTAATTTCATATTATTAAATTTTTATGTTTTCATTAATTTCCTTTTAGTTAAGTTTAAAAAAAATGAATAAAAAATATTGAAAACAAAGTTCATTAATATTTTTTTTATTTTTAACAATTTCTAGATTAAAATTACCAGACTTCGCACTCGATAATTAATTTTAAAATAGTAGCAAAAAGTAGCTTTCAAACTAAGAAAAGTTGTAAAAAAAAGTAGCTATCGAAAAATTAAATTTAACGATCGAAAAATTCGTTTTAGACATTTCAGAAAATTGACAAAAATTCCATTCTATATTTTATTTTTCTGACTTTTTCCTAATTTTCAACAAAAATATTTATTTCTTTCTTATCCTGCTAATAAATTGAATTCCTGCAACGAATTTTATTATTCATGAAAGAATTTAAATATTTATAAAAATAATTTAATTCTTTGAGAAGAATTTTATAAAAAAATTTTAAATAATTAATTGATTTCTTTCGGCTAATTTTATGCAAATTCTATATTTAAATAATTGAATTCCTGAGAAATTTTTATTATTCATGAAAAAAATTGAATTCTTACAAAGATTTTTGCAAAAAAATTTTTAAATAATTGAATACTGTTTGAAAATTTTATGAAAATAAAAAAGGTTTTTAAAATAATTAAATTTTACAAAGAATTATTTAAAAAAATTTTACAATAATTGAATGTCTGTGCATTTATGTAAATAATTGAATTCTTGGGAAGAATTTCATTAAAATCTAATATTAAATAAGTTAATATTAAAATAAATATCAATATTAAAATATTTGAATTCATGTGAAGAATTCTAATATTGTTGTAAATAATTAAATTCTTCTAAAGAATTTAAAAAAAAAAATTTTTTTAATAATTTATTTTTTGGAGGAATTAAAATTAAATTTTTAAGAATAATTACATTTTTTGAACAATTCCTTTAAAATTGTATTAAAAATTATTAAAATACTGCAATGAATTTGATTATTTATGAAAATAATTGAATTGTTGCTAAGAATTTTATTAAAATTTTCAAAAATAATTAAATTCCTGAGAAGAATTTTATTATTGTTGCGAAAAATTTTATTAAAGTGTTTAAAAAGAATTGAATTTCTGTGAAAGTTTTTGTTATTTTTTAAAATAATTGAATTCTTGTGGTGAATATTGTTATTTATGAAAACAATTGAATTTTGCAAAGAAATTTATTAAAATGCCTGAAAATAATTGAATTTTCTGAAAATTAAAATATTTGTAAATAATTGAATTCCTGTGAAAAATTTTAATATTTTTGTAAATAATTGCTTACTTCCAAATAATTTTAAAAAAACATTTTTTTAAATAAATGATTATTTCGAGAAATTGAAATTAAATTTTTAAGAATAATTGAGGCCTTGGATCCAATAACTCGCCCGACGCTCGAAGACACGCGCTAATACCAGCCGGGTAGCAGTGAGTGGCCCAGAGGCGCTCACTGCTCACTGACTGGCAGTTGCGCGTTCCTCCGAGCGTCGGGCGAGTTATTGGATCCAAGGCCTCAATTACATTTTTTGAGCAATTCCTGTAAAATTGTATTACATATAATTCAAATCCTGAGAAGAATTTTATTATTTATGAAAATAATTGAATAGTTACTAACAATTTTATTAAATTTTTTTAAAAAAATTGAATTCCTGAGAAGAATTATAAAAATAATTGAATTATTCCGAAAAATTTTATTAAAATGTTGAAGAATTGAATTTGTGTGAAAAATTTTGTTATTATTGAAAATAATTAAATTCTTTATTAGAATTTTTGAAACATTGTTTTGAATAATTCATTTTTTCGCAATACAATAAATATTATGAAAATTTTATTTAAAATAATTGAATTCTTGTGGAAAACTTTATTTGTGAAGATAATTATTAAAAATAATTGAAATTATTTCATGAGTTTTATTATTTATGAAAATAATTAAATTCTTGCATAGAATTTTATCAAAAAATTTTTTTTTTAAAAATTGAATTTCCATGGAAAATGTTATTATTAGTGAAAGTAATTGAATTATTGTGAAGAATTGTATAAAACTTTTGTTAAAAAATGGATTTTTTCACAATTTTTTTGAAAGTGCTATTCCAAATTAATTGAATTTTTGATGAATTTTATCAATTTTTAATAAATAGTGTAATTTAAATTTATCAAGTTTTTTTTAAATAACTAAATTGTTTTGTGAAATTTTATGAAAATACTAGATATTGAAAATAATGGAATTTCGAATATTTTTTGAAAATAATTGAATCTTTTTAAAGAATTAGATTATAATTTTTGAGAATATTTTTTTTTATTTCTAGTATTAGCGAATTTTAAGTAGTGTAAATTCTCAAAAAGAAAAACAGAAATAGTAGCTTTTAATGAACCTTTTATTATTTTTTTAATTAACTTTTTATTGATTTTATCAACTTTTAAACTAAAATTAAATTTTTCAAAGTAACCAATTTTTTTTCCAAAAGAAAAAATTTGTTTATTTATTTCCATGATTTGCAAATCATGGAAATAAATAAACTAATTTTTTTTTCTTTCAGCGGATTATTAATTTTTCATTCATTCATTTTTTTTTTTTTTGTTACTTATGTATTTTTGAGAAAAGCCGAAAAATCTTACCAACGCTGGAAGGAAATGTTGGCACGGTGGGTTTAAAAGAAAAAAATGCCGGATAGAGAAGTGGATGATAAGGAGCGCTTCCTGGATGATAAACGTGGGGTACACCCTGATAGAGTGACGATGGAGTTCTTCTTGCCGCTGCCGCCACCAACGATGACGCACTTCTTGGCGCTCTTTCGTGTTGAACGGCTGAAAATGACATTTCCTTTTTACCAAAAAAAAAGAGAGGGAGAGAGAGGGAGAAAAAAATATACAGTTGAAGGAAAAAGTAAAAAATCCTCCATAAAACGATATTATATCCCAACCGAACTCTTAAGAGCCACTTTACTTGACAATTACTGTGCACAGAGCATTTCCTAAATTGCTCACTTTATGCGCACCTATCTACACTGTCGACACTCCATTTAAATCCTTGAGGAGAAAAAAAATGTTTATTTTTCGAATGGAGTGCTGTCAAATTCATATAAATCAGATCATATTCTCGTGGCGAGAAATTCAAAAAATTTTGGATTTCTTTAAAATTTTTATTTTAAATCAATATTATAGTCGGTGATTCAATCTGTTTAAACGTGTTCATTGAAAATGCGAACATACAACATAATTTTTAATTTATTTTTCTTTTTTTCTTTGTTTAAATTTTACTTTCTAAACTTAGGAATTTTTTAAACTTTTGTTTTTTTATATATATTAAATTTTCTGTATTATTTTTGCTACTTTTTATTTTTACGTATTTTTATTTTAATCATAAAAGTAAAAATAATTCGAAAATGGAAAATAAAAAGAATTCTTTTATTTTTCTTTTCCTAATTTTCACTTTCTAAATTTAGGAAATTTTTTAAAATTGTGTTTTTGTATATATTAAATTTTCTGTATTATTTTTTCTACTTTTTATTTTAATCATAAAAGTAAAAATAATTCGAAAAAGGAAAATAAAAAGAATTCTTTTATTTTTCTTTTTCTAATTTTCACTTTCTAAATTTAGGAAATTTTTTAAAATTGTGTTTTTGTATATATTAAATTTTCTGTATTATTTTTATATTTTTTATTTTCACGTATTTTTCTTTCAATCGTATTTAATTCTTTTTATTTTTCTTTTTTCTATTGTTTATTTCTTTTATTTTTTTTTTTTTGAACTTGTGTAATTTTTTTAGTTTCTCCTAATAAATTTTCTGCATTTTTTTCTAGTTTTTATTTTCACTTCTTAAAACTAAAGTTAAGTATTTTTATTATTTACATTTTTCTATTGTTTTGTTTTTATTTTTTAAATTCAATTCTTTGCACTTTTTTCTAGTTTTCATTTTGCTTCTTAAAACTTAAGTTACCTTATTATTATTTTATTTATTTAATTTTTTTTCTTTTTTGTATTCTCATTTTTACATATTTTTATTTAAATCGTATTTATTTTATTTTTCTTATTTTTCTTATTTCATATTTTTTGTTTTTATTTTCTAAACTTAACAACTTTTTAAATTTGTGTTTTTTCAGTAATATTACATTTTCTGTATTATTTTTATATTTTTTATTTTCACATATTTTTCTTTCAGTCGACTTTAATTCTTTTACTTCCTCATAGAGGAAGTATTGTAATACTGAAATTTTTCGAGTTCGATTTTTTGACATATATTTATGTTATTTGACCTCAGGAGTTCAAAAATGACATTTTTAAAAAATGTCATTCCGTATGTGTGTGTGTGTGTGTAAACATCACATTTTCATAAATATCTCGAAATCATGAAGAGATATTGGACTGAATTTTTTTTTAAATTGTAGATCTCACCTGCGGACATAAAGCGAGAGTACTTTCTAATATATTAATAAAGTTTAACTAAATTTTGTTTTGATTTTTAATTTTGCAAAAAAACGTTTTTTGACCATAACTTTAAAAAAATGTTAGGACACCTATAAATGTTTTTTCATAATTTTGTAGAGTTTTTTTAGACGCATCTTTTGAGCCCTAATTGAACATTTTTCGTCCATATTAACCGGAGTTATTAAACTTTTAAAAATCAAAAATTTTGAAAAATAAGACTTTTTTGAAAATTTTGTTAAAAAAAAGTAACTTTAAAATTATCGTTATCAACTTGTAGAGCATTAAAAAACGCTTCGAATGACCTATTTTTGAACCTTATTCGATAATAAATTTCAAAATTATTGGTATTTTAAAAACCAAAAATTGTGAAAAATGACATTTTCTCAACTTTTTTGATTGAAAATTTTTATTTAACTATTAAATTATTGTAACTATCTTGTAGTGTATTTAAAAATACATTGATTGACTCAAAATTCAATCACTTTTATCATATTTATAAAAAGTCATTCATATATTTCTATTATTTTTATCTCTATGAGGAAGTAAAGTGTTCATGAAATGAGCACCAAAATTATATAAAAAAAATACAACTTGGCAGCGGTTTTTATTTTTTATTGTTATTTATTTATTTTTTTCTATTATTTTTTTGAACTTGTGTAATTTTTTTAGTTTCTCCTAATAAACTTTCTGCATTTTTTTCTAGTTTTTATTTTCACTTCTTAAAACTAAAGTTATACGTATTTTTATTATTTACATTTTTTTTTATTTTTTAATTGTTTCGTTTTTATATTTTAAATTCAATTCTTTGCACTTTTTTCTAGTTTTCATTTTTACTTCTTAAAACTAAAGTTACGTTATTATTATTTTAATTTCATTTATTCAATTTTTATTCTTTTTTTGTAATCTCATTTTTACATGTTTTTATTTTAATCATATTTATTTAATTCTTCTTATTTTTCTTTTTTTATATTTCTTGTTTTTATTTTTTAAATTTAGCAACTTTTTAAATTTTTTTTTTAGAGTACTCTTTTTTAAAATATTAAATTTTCTGAATTATTTTTTATATTTTTTATTTTTACGTACTTTTCTTTCAATCTTATTTCATTCTTTTTAATTTTTTACTGTTTATTTTTATTATATTTTATTTTTTTAACTTGTGTAATTTTCTTACTTTCACATAATAATTTTTCTTAATTTTTTTCTAGTTTTTATTTTTTTTTTTTTCTTAAAACTAAAGTTTAGTATTTTTATTTTTTACATTTTTGTATTTTTTTAATAGTCTCATTTTTATTTTAAAATTTATTTTTTTGCATTTTTGTCTAGTTTTTATTCCACTTCTTAAAACTAAAGTTAAGTATTTTTATTTTTTACATTTTTGTATTTTTTTTCAATAGTCTCTTTTTTATTTTTAAATTAAATTTTCTGCATTTTTCCAGTTTTTATTTTTACTTCTTAAAACTTAAGTTACTTATTTTTAATTACTTTAAGTATTACATTTATTTGTATTTTTTTTTTAAATTCCGTTTATGCTTTGTAAATTCAATTTTTGTATATCCTGTTATAGGGTAAATGCACTAGTAGTCGGACACTTAAGGATACAATCTTAAATTATGCTTTTTTTCTTGAAATAGCAAATATCTACTGTGTTTATAAGCACATTATTAATTAAAGGAGTTCTTCAGGATTAAAAATCATATAAATTTGTTACAAATACTTGAGTATTTAATAAAATATAAACATTTTAATGAAAAATTACGAATGCTTTAGTAGTCGGACACTTTTTCCCCTTGTTTCTATAGTCGGACATCTGTCAGATATTTTGAATTTATAAAGTGAAAAAGATAATTTTTTAATTGCTATCTGCTGGAAAATGGAATTAAAGCATATTAGAAGTTATTAATATAATATTTAAACCCTATAAGTTTTAATATTTATGATTAATTGTCAACAAAACTTTGTGCCACTCATCGCGCTACTCGAAAATGGTTGTATCTATAGTCGGACACCATGATTTTTAAAACATTAAATAAAATATTTCTTGTTTAATTATTTTCGAAAATAACACTATTTTAATAAAATATAAACTTCACACATTCGTTTTGTATACTTTTTAAAGTAATTATCACAATGCATTATTATTTATTTGCCAAAAAACACGAAAGTGTCCGACTACTAGTACTGTCCGACTATACCCGCACTTACCCTATATCAAATTTTTTATATTATTTTTTTCTTGTTTTTATTTTCAATTTTTCAATTTATGTCACTACTTTTATTTTACATTTATTTATTAAATTCTTTTTATTATTATTTGATTTTTTTTGTATTTTTTTTTATTTCTCTTTAGAATATTTTTTTGTTTTATTTTTCTTTATTTTTTTTTTATTTATTTTCAAAATATTTGTTATTTCGAAAATTGACTTTCAATACAGAAATTAAAAAATAATAAGTTTATACCACAATCTGTACTTGTAAAGATTTTAAAAAATATTATAAAGTACTAATGCTCTTAAATTTAGAAACAAATTTCGTGTTAAATGATTAATAGATTAGGTATGTATTTCTATTTTACATTCTTTTAGTAAATTTTTTTTTGATTTCCCAAGTTAACTTGCCGGAAAAATGTCGAATTTACAATGAACTCGACAGAAAGTTATTTTTTTTTGTAGATTCTACATTTTATTAATAATTATTTTTTAAATTGAGGCCTTGGATCCAATAACTCGCCCGACGCTCGGAGGAACGCGTAACTGCCAGTCAGTGAGCAGTGAGCGCCTCTGGGCCACTCACTGTTACCCGACTGGTATTAGCGCATACCTTCGAGCGTCGGGCGAGTTATTGGATCCAAGGCCTCAATTAAATAAAAATAGAAATTCAAATTAAAGATCAAACAAAAATAATTTATTATTTTTGTTTGATTTTTAATTTTTAATTTTAATTATTATTATTTTAATAATTTTAATCTTTAATTTGAATTTCTTTTTTTATTTACTCGAAAATATAGCAAGTGGAATAATACAGGAAAAATTAAAATGCCATAATCTCTCCCCATCCCCCTTGGAAAATCGGTATTGAATCATTTTCAAGAAGTATAAACACTTTTGCGTTGATAAGAAAAAAAAATAAATCAATAGATTTCTTTCTTTTTCTTTTTTTTTTGCCTATTTATCTATGAAAGGTTAAAGTGGAAACACACTTAAAAGGCACTGAAGGTGCTTTGCTTAATGGCCCCCTGCTAATTGATATCTCGACGCAATCTAGTGTTTGGTTTATTCGAACTCACCCTGAACTTTAGGGGTGCTACCCGCAATATTTACAAAAGCTGCGAACATCGGTCTGTGTCTGACACTTCGTTTTGTGACTTCATATTATAGAAATAAAGTAGTGCTTCCTACAAACTTTTTTTTTTTGTCATTTTTCCCCACCCTTTTCTCTCTCTCTCTCTCTTTTTTCTATATTTGCCTAAAGGGCAACACACATATGCATTGTAATGTTGTGTTCACTCATTTCTTTATATTTACACACTTGTCCACACATATTGCTGTGGATTATAAATATATCAAATTTTCCATTGCAATCATTAGAGCAGCTGCAATATCAATTTTCACGAGTTGCTCATGGTTAATCTTTGGTTAATTTTATATTTACTTTGAAAAATTTGTTTTTTGAAATTTATTGAAAATTCTTCATTTTTTAGAAAATATAATTTTTCTAACAGTTTTTCTTTTAATTTAATTATTGAAGATATTTCTAACAGCAACTTGAATATTTTTGATTAAATATTAATTAATAATATTTTATTAATTAATAATTTTTTAAAATAAAAATTTTAAATATTTTTATACTTTTGCTTTCCTTATATTTTTAAAGAATTTATTTTAAAAAAAATTTTTAAATTTAATTAACTCCTTAAATTTCTGTGATAACGCTTTAAATATTCAATTATTTTCCGAATTTTTAATTAGAATTCTTCAAAAATACGATTATATTTCAAAATAATTTTTATAAAGTAAACAAATAAAATTCTTTAAAATATAAAAATTTATTTGAAAGAAATTTGACAAAATTTTCAATTGTTTCAATATTTTAAAATTATTTTCAGAAATACAATTAATTTAAAAAAAATATTAATTACTTTTTTTCAAGAAACAAATTTTTGCGGAATTTCTAAATTAAATTATTCAATACTTTTTGTTAAAAAAAATTAAAAACTTATTGTTATTAATTTTTTCACAGGACTTAAAATTTCAAATAATTTCCATGAAAAACTTGAACTTCATGAAATTTAATTATTTCTAAAAATTGCAACTCTAATTCTTCCGAAATTCAATTATTTTTTTCGGAATTTTTAAATAAAAATTATTGAAAAACTTTAAGAATTTTAAAGAAAAATATTGTAATTAATAATTTATTTAGAAAAATTTTTTAATTCAATTAACTCCTTAAATTTCTGTGATAACGCTTTAAATATTCAATTATTTTCTAAAATTTTAACTCTAATTTTTTTTAAATCAATTCCTACCAGAATTGAACTACGAGAATTGAATTATTTAAATAGAGGAATTTTTGTAAATTCATAATTTAATTTATTTTCAAAAATACAATAATTATATTTATTGATAATTTTTAAAGATGGAAAAGTTAAATTCACTAAAATTTAAAGTTTTACAAAATTTTCAATTGTTTCAATTTGTTAAAATCATTTTTGTGAATTCAAAAATATTTGCATTTTTTATTCGTTTATATCATTATTTAATTTTAAAAAATTGATTAGAAAGTTAAGTTTGTAGTTAATAATTTCTTAATTACTAAAGTAATTTTATTAATTATATGGAAATCAATGATAATAATAGCAAAAGTGTTAATAAGCGTACCATCACGTTTCATATTGACCTGAAGACATTTGGTAAATCGACATGCTTGACATTGATTTCTGCGCGAAACGTCCACAACACAGCGGCCATTTTCTTTACACACGTAATCCAGATTTCTGTTAAGAAGAAAATTTACCAATTATTACAAAAAAAAAAATAAAATAATACTTATTTAACAAAAAAAAATGTTTAAAGAAAATATTCTTTCAATTTATTTATTTTTCCAAATGATATTTTAATCACAAGTTTATTTAAAAGCAGAAATTTTTATTTCGCCCTTAATTGAATAATCAATTTTTTGTGAATTAATAATTTTTTTTTCAAAATAAATAAATAATTGGTGAAATTTTTGCATTACCTCGCATAGCGTCGAATTGAGCGCTTAAAGAATCCGCGACATCCGTCGCAACTCGGTACTCCATAATGTTTTCCTGACGCTTTATCGCCACAAACTTTACAAAGCGTCTCATTTCTTCCGCCATCTTCCATTTTTCGTTAAATTTTCTTTTCTGAAAGAACAAATTTTATTGTTTATACTGTTTTTTTTTTTTATTTTTGTGAAGAAAATATTTATTTTAAAGGAAAAATTTCACTAAGCTGTCAGCAAAAATTTCTCCTTTGAATTTTTTGCAAGGAAAAAATTGAAGTCACCATAAATGAAATTTTTTAACCAATTTCCCTGTTTGTGTATTTAAAAAAATTATTAATTATTAATAAATAAAAGAATATTTTTGAAAAATATATAAAAAAGGAATATAAAAAGTATTTTGTATTTGAGGACAATTTTCAAAAATAATTTGTCCTTAATATTAATTATAAATAATATTTATTATTTTATTTAGTTTTTAAACAGTCGATAACTTTCGGTTTTGTTTAAATTTTCAGTTACAGTCAATTCTTGATAATTAAACATTCGATAAATTGAATTTCGCAATAAGTTGAATTTATTTTCTGGTTCCTTGAAGAAATTTTAGTTACTTAAAACTTTCGATAAATAAAAACTCTCTGTAATTTTAATTTTCTTTTTGGTGCCCCTTGGGATTCAATTTATCGAGAGTCGACTGCATTACATTTTATTACAGTCAGCTCCCGATAATTAAACTGTCGACAAATTGAATTTCTCTGTAAATTGAATTTATTTTTTGGTTCCTTGAAGAAATTTTGATATTTTAAATATTCGATAAATAAAATCCTCGTTAATTTGGATATTTTTCTGTGGCCCTTGAATTTTAATTTATCGAGAGTCGACTGTATTAAATTTTTTTTTACCGTCAGCTCTCGATAATTAAACTTTCGACAAATTAAATTTCTCTGTAAATTGAATTATAAATTTAAAGTCTATATGAATTAATTGTAAGTTGGAAACAAAAATTACAAATTCAAAAATCTAAATTAGTTATAAATTTAAAATACAGTTGACTCTCGATAAATTAAAATTCAAGGGCCACAGAAAAAATTCAAATTAACGAGGGGTTTTATTTATCGAATATTTTAAGTATCAAAATTTCTTCAAGGAATAACCAAAAAACTAATTCAATTTCCAGAGAAATTCAATTTGTCGAAAGTTTAATTATCAAGAGCTGATTGTATGTAAATTAATTAATTATAAATTTCAAATATAAAGTACAGTTGACTCTCGATAAACTGAATCTCAAGGGGCGCAGAAAAAATACAATTTACCAAGAGTTTTACTTATCGAATGTTTTGAGTTAACAAAATTTCTTCGAGGAACCAGAAAATAAATTCGATTTATTGGGAAATTTACTTTATAAACAGTTTAATTATCGAGAGTTGACTGTATTTATAAATTAGAAATGTAAATTAATTAATTATAAATTTTAAATATAAACTTATTAATTAAAAATCTAAAATTCAAGTTAATTTTAAATTAAATTAATTTTTTTGTTTAAATAAATTAAATTAAATTTTAAATTAAATTACATTAATTTTTTATTGAATTAAATTTAATTTAATTTAAAATTTAATTTAATTACGGTAAATTTTGAAAGAAATAAATTTGCGACAATAAAAATTTGGCCGTCAATAAGAGTCAAATGATTATCCAATCGTTTGCAAAGCTTGGTGATTGGTTTATGGTGTCTTCTTGCCGTGAGGCAGAGAAAGAGTCACGTAAGGGAATAATAGATGAAATCGAAGGAGAAAATGGTCGTTTTATATGGGGCTAAAAGGCATGTGGCATAGTAAACCACCGCATGTGGTTTACCACCCTTTTTGTTCTAGGCGATGCTCTCTCCATGTTGTCGATGCATTATTGAGCCTGAGAACCCTACAGGTGTCCTCCGACTCTCTATTAGAGCAAGAAAGATCGAGACAGGCGCCATTAGACCATTAAAAGGGGAGCGACAGAGTAAAAAGATCGAGACAACTTCCATATATGTAAAGCAGAGAAGGCAAACGAGTGAATTTTTTTGCCAGTTGGAAATTCCCGAAAATTTACCAGTTAAAAAAGAATTTTTTTTTAAATTAAAATTTTAAATTTACAGTTAAAAAGAAATTTTTTAAGATAAAATTTTTAATTTACAGTCCCTCTTCTTTTACGTGCCGATTTTTCTTATTTTCAGATTTTTATTTATTTTTCTATTTTTGCATTTCTCTATTTTCTATTTTTATTTATTTCTCCGTTTTCTGTTTTTAAGTTTAATTCTTTTTTAAATTTTTTTTGTTTTAATTTTGTTTATAATTATTTTTCTCATGTCAATATTTACTTGATTCAAAAAATTATTTTTTATAAATAAATAAAATAAATAAATATCTATTTATTTATTTATAAATAAATTATTCGATTCAAAAATTTTTCTTTCTACAAAAAATTATATTTAGTCGATTCAAGAAAATGTTGGATTAAAATAATTTTTTATTCGATTCAATAAATTTTTTTTCAAAAATGATTATTTACATGAATAACCAATTTTTTTTTTACAAATAATTATTTATACGTCTCAAAAAAATATTTTGTTAAAATAATTATTTATTCAATTCAAAGAACTTAAAAAAATATTTATTCAATTTAGAAAATTAATTGTTTTCTAATTGTTTGTAAACAATAATTATTATATGATTCAATTTATTTTTTGTTCGATTAAAACAATTATTTTTTATAAATAAATATATTTAGTTAACTCATAAAAATTATTTTTTTACAAATAAATATTTATTCTACTCAAAAAAAAATTATTATTACAATTAAATATTTAAATAATTAATTATTTATTTATTTAAGATACAGAAAAATATTTAGATTCAAATATAATCACTTATTAATTGGAATTAAATGTACATTTTTTTTGTAAGGAAGTCAACAATGTTGTCGAATTAAAAAAAAATCCATAATATGCTTTCTGAAATTTCGTGAATCATAAAAAATCGTATACGAGATTTTTTAGAGAAATAATTACAGTAGTATTGTAATAATAATAATACTTTTGGCTTTTTGCTCCGATGTAAACAAGTAGCATATGTTGAAGTACTTATGTCAATTGCATGTCGAGTGGCTTTCGGGTTAAAATAGGGTTAAGCAATGCACCCTTAATGACATATCACGGCAGCCAACTGCTTTGCATGCGGGACCCCCATATAAATACCATTTTTTTTTTATTATAAAACCAAAAAAAATTTTTTTTTTTATATTAAAATTAATTATTTTTAAAGATTAATATTTTTTTTAAATTATTGTTTATATTAATTTTTTAAATAATTTATTTTATCATTTTTTTAATAATTCATTTTATTTTTTAATGATTCATTTAATTTTTTTAATGATTCATTTTATAATTTTTTAAATTATTCATTTGATTATATTTTTCTCAATTATTCAGAATAATTTTCAGTTTTTAGATTATTTTCAATTTTATCAAATCTTTTTCTACTACATTAAAATGTTTTTTAATTATTCTGTTTATTAATTTTTTTAATAATTCATTTTTATTATTTTTTAAATAATTGATTTTTATTTTTTTTTTAATAATTCATTTTTTAATTTTTTTAGAATTTAATTGTTCATTTGATTATATTTTTCTCAATGATTCATAATAATATTTGGTTTTTGGATAATTTTCAATTTTTACAAATCTTTTTGCAGATTAAATTAATTAATTAAATTTACATTTAAATGATCGTAAAATTGTAATTTACAAATCGAAATTAAGGAATAAAATAAAAAAAATTTGAATGAAACAAAATTCAAATTAAAAAAAATGTCAAATTATTTTTAATTGAAAAATTTTTTTAATTAATTAATTTATTAATTTTATTAATTACTTAATTATTATTAATATGTATTATAATCGAACAGTATTTTAACCTATTTTTATTTAGAAATTTATAATTACTAATTTCTGTTTGGAATTATTATTTTTATGTTAACGTGACATTTTCCCAAGACAGTATAGTAATTATCACTTGTTGATCAAACTGCTTACGTCCACGAGTAATTAATTCTATTTATTCCGTAATGACAATTCGATAATAAAGTCAATTGTGAATAATATTTCAAAGTTCATTTGTCAATTATTAATTTTTGAATTTCGCTCATTAATAATTATTCCTTTGTGTCCTAATTTTCTTGTTTTATTCAATTATCTTATAACCAGAAAATTGAAAGTTTTAGGTATAATAAAAAATAAAGGCCAATGAGTACCTGTGTGCATAAAGAAAATGTAGAAACTACGAACAAAAAAAAAAAAAAAAAAGAAATGGTAAAATCAATCTATAAAATTCTTTTATTCTTTTTTTTCCAAAGAATTTATATAGATCTTGGTAAATTGCTGAGCTTGCATTGAACATACATAAAATAATAAAAAATATTCACCAGAAGGGGTTATAGACCATTAAATCGTCAACTCGATATTTTCATGTAACATACATTTATATTTTGTTTCAATCAATAATTTCTTTCCGTTCGATAATATAGGTTGTATCTTGTCAATTATGAACAGTAATTGTGATAATAATTTTTTTTTTATTTTTAATTTAGAATATTAATCTTTGAAATAAATAAATATTAAATATTCCGTAGCAATAGTGTAAGGAAAATTCGTCTTGAAGATTTTCAAATTAATTTGTTGTGAATAAGATTTGACCCAAATTTTGTAGAAATTAATTTCATTCGCTTCAAGAGAATTTTTTTTTAGTTCAAATAAATTTTATTCGTTTCAAGAGATTTTTCTTTTTGGTTCATATAAATTTTTTCGCTTGGAAAAAATTTCATTTGTCTCAAATAAATTTTATTCGCTTCGAGAAAATTTTATTTGCCTCAAATAAATTTTATTCGCTTCGAGAAAATTTTATTTGCATCAAATAAATTTTGATCGAATTTTATTAGCATCAAGTAAATTTTGATCGAATTTCATTTGCATCAAGAAAATTTAGATCGAATTTTATTTGAATCAAGAAAATTTTGATCGAATTTTATTTGAATCAAATAAATTTTAATCGTTACGAAAAAATTTCATTTGCTTCAAATAAATTTTGATCGAATTTTATTTATTAC